CTCTTTCCTTCCTTCATTCCTTCTCTCTACTCTCTCTCTTTCTTTCCTTCCTTCTTTCCTCCTTCTGCGGCCAAACTCTAGTGAGAAGGGGTTTAAACTTTAAACTCCTTCTCTCTTCATTCCCCCACCACCACCGCTGGCTGGGCAAGGGAAGGGGAGGCTTTTGAAGATGCCTCCCCCCCCCCCGTTTTGCTTCCCCTTCTGACATCACTTCTGGTTCTAACATGACTGCTCAGCAATTTGCAATTTGTGAGCGAGTGATCTGGCTACTGCATAATTTACCTGGTACCATCAGGAGGTCCAGCAGTGGGGCCAGGACACTAGAACCCCTCCCACTGGTGCCCAAGGCACCAAGAATACAGTGCATGACTTGCCCCAGCCTGTGAGTCCCTATCTATACCTTGTGGCTAATAGCCACTGATGGACCTCTGCTCCATATGCTTATCTAATTCCGTTTTGAAGCCGTCCATGCTTGTAGCCGCCACCACTTCCTGTGGCAGTGAATTCCATGTGTTAATCACTCTTTGGGTGAAGAAGTACTTCCTTTTATCCGTTCTAACATGACTGCTCAGCAATTTGCAATTTGTGAGCGAGTGATCTGGCTACTGCATAAATTAGTTTGCTATGGAGCCATCTTTCCAGAGCTAAGACAAGAAAGTGTGAGCCGGAGCTAGCTCATACTAACTCAGCTTAGAGGGAACACTGGAGCCAGATAAAAGCCTGTTTGTATGTTTGACATGTCTGCCCCACGAGACATCACTTTGGAGGCTGCAGAGAGCATTCATTCAGAGATAACTGCCCCCTTGCCCTGACCTGGATAGCCCAGGCTTGTCAGATCTCGGAAGCTAAGCAGGGCCGACTCTGGAAAGTACTTGGAAAGGAGACCTCCAAGGAATACCAGGGCTCAGGATGCAGAGGCAGGCAATAATAAGCTACCTCCCTGAAACATCCGAGCCCCACTAGAGGTTGCCAGAAGTCAAGCATGACTTCTAAGCACACACGCACACACCAAAAGTATTAAAACTTTAAAAAAGAAATAGCTGCCCCCTTCACAGAAAGATGCTTGGCTTGAAACCTCCCAATATTTTGTAATTGCCTCCATGACACCCATTTTGTGATTGGTCCTGCCGCCTGTGGCTATCACTGTTTTTTCTCAACTGCCCACAGGCTCAACAAGGCTGATGAGCCCTAGTCTAGAAGGAAACTCTTATTTCATTTGCAACCAAAGTTGAGTTAGCTACATCTTGTGTTAAAACAGCATTAGACAAATTTTAATTCTACTAGCACAGTTTTCATTTGCAAGATGATTAATACATTACAAGGCTGAATCCCTTGGCAATTCACTTTCTTCTACAGAGCTGGAAATAGCTACTTAGTTAGAAGCATTCACATACACAGTAGTATGGAGGGTATCCAAAATCTCTTTTTGTAGTCTCGGGTCATTTCTGTAAATATCCAGCAGAAGAAGAGCTTGATCACAGCTGCCACAATAAACCTTGTAGATATTTTCCATCTCTTCTTTGAGCTCTTGGAATAAGGTGCCTACCAGAGCAAAAGTTATATGTCAGTCATTCTGCATTTAACAGTTGACTTAAACTACTGTCTGTATTCTACAGATGGCAGTAACAATCTTACAATTACTGAGAAAATTAAAATGGTGGCTTGAAAGTAAAAACAACATGATAAAATAATTAAAACAACACAAATTATTAATATAAAAAACAAGCCATTACAAACAAGCCATTGGGATCAAGGTAGCCTGAAAAAAACCTGAGCAGCCTAAATTTCTTTTTTCATAAAGCAGTCCTTAGGCTCAAAGCAAGCCATTAAAAAGAAGTTTAAAAGATAGAACTGTTTTGGCCCAGTACCAGGTGAGCTTCAAGAGGAGGATATTTCAAAAATGAAATTCCACCAGTAGAAAAGCCCTGCCTCTAATTGCTACCTATCTCACTTCTTCAGGCAGGGCCATGGAAATCAGAGCTGGGGAAGGATCTTAAGTGGCAGGATAGATCAAACAGGAGAAGATGGTCTTTCAAGTACCCTGGACTAAGGCCAATTAGGCCTTAAAGGTAAGTACCAGCACTCTGAATTCTGTTCAGAGAAGGATGGGCAATCCATCTTTCTCCACAGGGGTTATATGATCCCTATACCCAAGAATAGCCTGGCTGCTGCATTTTGGATCAACTGAAGTTTCTGAAGTTTTCAAAAGCAGTCGCATGTGCAATGAATTACAGCAAGCTAACCTGGATGGGATCAGAGCATGCATCACTGGATCACAGGATCCATAGGTTAATAGATGCAGAAACAAACACTTCATTTGGGGGCTTTTGAAATCATTACTTCTAGATTTATTCCTCTTTTGAACAGGGGATACGGATATGACTCATCTGTGGAAAATTGCTCACCACTATTTGTTCAGAAGCAAGAAATAAGACAGCATTTACAATACATGAGGTACACAGTTGAGTTAAACTACTGTTCAAAAAAAGGTCATGTCTAGGAAGACAGATTGTCATGGTCCTACTCACTGATATGAAGCAGCTGTTCATGTTCCTGGTTTGCCATGGCTTCAAGGCCTGTCAGAAAGTGTCTGGAAATGTGCAGGACATCATCTATATTAGAGAACAGTCCTTCCACGTCTATTCCAGGCAGCTGAAAGGCAAAACGGACCATCTTCCACACAAGCTCAAATTTTGCAGGAGACACAAACAGATTATCCTTTGTCCATCAGTCACAGGACCTCCTCTCTCATCACCTCAGTCCAACTCAGGTCTTTCAACACCCCTCCCAAAATTGGTGGTTCTGGAGTGGGCAAACACCTTCCATCTTTTACAGTGAAGACAGAGGCAAAAAAAGCATTCAGCTTCTCTGCCATTTCCTTATCATCCTTTAGTAATCCTTTGGCCCTTGGTCATCCAAGGGCTCCACTGCCCCCCTGGCTGGTTTTCTGCCACTAATGTATTTGAAGAAATGTTTATTGTTGGTCTTGATGTTTTTTGCAATATGTTCCTCATAATCCCTTTTTGCCTGTCTGATCACCGACTTGCATTTTATTTGTCACTGCCGGTGTCCTAGGGCTCCCAAATCTCACCAAATTGTGGTGGGGGATCGCATGTCTTTGCAGAATCCCTGCCGTGGGGACGGCGAGACCTGCCATCGCCAGGACATGATGCTATGCGTTGCTCTGGCAACGGGGCTGTTTGGAGCCCTATTGCCAGAGTGACGTGTAGCATCATGTCCTGGCGATGGCAGGTCTCGCCGTCCCCACGGCAGGGATTCTGCAAAGACATGCGATCCCCCGTCGTGACTTGGCAACCCTACTGTGTTCCCTTTTATTTACCTCACTCGAACTAGCCTTCCACCATTTAAAGGAATCCTTCTTACCTTTTACTGCTTCCATTACTTTGTTTGTTAACCATGCAAGCTTTTTTATACCTTTCCTAACCTGTTATATACATTTTATCTGAGTTTCTAGGATTGTTGTTTTAAATAGTCTACAAGCTTCCTGAAGGGATTTAACCCTTCTTACCTTTCCTTTCAGTTTCTTCTTCACAAGCCCCCTCATTAGAGAGAAGTTACCCCTTTTAAAATTAAATGTGGTTGTGTTGGTCTTTTGGGGCAACTCCCTGTTTACATGAGTGTTAAACTTAATAGCATTATGGTCACAGTTTCCAACCGGTGCTATCACATTTACATCTCTCGCCAGGTCTTGGGCATTACTTAGGACCAAGTCCAGGATTGTCTCCCCCCTGGTAGGTTCTTTGACCATCTGCTCAATGCCACAGTAATTGAGAGTATCCAGAAACCCAATCTCTTTCTCCTGACTTGAACACATGGATCTGGGTTGCCAGATCCAGATTGGGATACTCCTGGAGATTTGGGTTTGGAGCCTGGGGGGGGACAGGGACCTCAGTAGGGTACAACACTATAGAGTCTACTAGACTTGCCAAACCCCCGCTGGGGACGGGGGGACCCCCTGCTTTCAATACCCCCTCCCCCGCTTTCTAAAAATTGGGCCCCGGGGGGGGGGAAATGGCAGCTGGAAAGTGACGCTCTGGATTTAAGTCCTCCATGTCTCTATGGTTCTGGAACCATAGAGACAAGGGCCAGAACATCAGTTTCCAGTTCCCGTGGACATCTGGTGCTTTCGCTTTTGTTGTCCTGGTGGCATGGCCGGCCGGCAGTCTATCTCTGAGCTGTGCTTCTTCTTGGCCTGCTGCAGCGGTTCCTGAGCCCGCCCCCCCTCACTGTGAGATGTAAGTGAGCGATTTGGCTACTGCTTCAATGAGTTGGCTCTGGAGCCCTCCTTCCTGGGCTAAGGGACCGAAGGTTTTGGGCGGCTGGGCGGGGGGCGCCGTGAGCGAGCGATTTGGCTACTGCTTCAATGAGTTGGCTCTGGAGCCCTCCTTCCTGGGCTATGACAAAAACGTGAGCCGGAGGCTAAAGAACTGTGAGTTAGGCTAGCACACCCTAACTCATCTTAGAGGGGACCAAACCAATCATCCGGCTCCCCCTGAAAAGCAGCGTGGTCAAGGCCCTCAAGCTGTGGCGGCCTGGCCCACTCGAGCCTGCTTTCCTTAACTTGCCCGTAATTCTGCCTGGAAATAAACCGGGGCGGGGGGAAGGTGCAGGAGGAAAAGAGGATGCCGCGCCGCGTCGGCATTTTTACGAGCCCCCGCCCGCAGGGGTTCCTGCTCAGGGCTCGGATCTCGGCGAAAGCCTCCGAAGGCGACTCAGATCTCGGCGAAAGCCCTCCAAAGGTGAAGGGCTGGCATCACCCGAGCCTCTCTCTGCAGCCCGGAGCCGGGGCAGAGACGGGATCCCACCTCCCACCCGCCAGCGCATCAGGTCCCGAATAACCCAACCCGTCCTCGGGAACTTGGCCGCCTTTTGCACGTTGCTTCGAGGCGCCCAGGGAAGCGGGGTGGGCTGGCTTTCTAAACTTCTCCAGCCGCTTCTCGCCCTTTCGCTCCCCCCCCAAAAAAAAGCGAGAGGGAAGGAAGGGATGCTTCTGGCTGCTTGTCTACTTTCCTTCCTATTGTCTTTCTGTCTGTCTGTCTTCTTTCCTTCCTTTCATTTTTCTTTCTTTTACTCCTCTCTCATGAACTGCAACTTTGCAGGTGGCAGATTCTAGCTTAGAATGCTCCTTCACATAAAGAGACTGTGCAAATAGAAAGCAAGCACAATAGGGAGAAAACTTTGTACCCCCTTCTTTATTGGCTGTGCTGCTTTTCTTTTGTTGGGGATTTTTTTTTTTAATGTAGGTGATGATTCCGCTATGGAATTCTTCACTTGCAGTGCACGATGTCACGGTCCTTTCTATTATCTCGGCACCCTACATCCTCATTCCCCCATCGCAGCAGCGTACCATCTTGTTTCCACTTTATTATCCTGCATGTGTAAATGGAACTGTATCTGCATAGATACAAAAATATAGTGGAAAATTCATCCTGGCAACAAATTTGGTACAGAACATGACAAAATAGGGACAGCTTTGCAATGTAACCATATACACTCTTAAAATACAGATATTTAAAATAGTAACACTCTCCAAAATTCAATACATGTCTGGGCTTCCATGCCTTCGCTGTCGCTAATATTGCACACACCCTTCAAATTCCCATGGATACTTTCCAAATGTTTTCTAAATTTGAAAATTACTCCTGGCTCTTGTTTTATGAGGAAACAAAAAAAAATGTCAACTGACTGGTAATTTTAAAAGTTGAGACATCCAGTGCTAAGGCATGCGGTGAGTCTTGGGATGTGTTAGAGGAAGGGCAATGATGACCCTTAGAGCCTGAGAATGTGAAATAAACTTGGTCGAAACTAGGAAAGCCCTGAACTGGATTGCCCGGCCGGCCCAGTCTTGTCAGATCTCAGAAGTTAAGTCGGGTTGTCCCTGGTTAGTATTTGGATGGGAGACCACCAAGGAATTCCAGGGTCTTTATGCAGAGGAAAGTAAACCACCTCTGAACATCTCTTGCCTTGGAATTACTATGAGGTCACCATAAGTCTGCTGTGACTTGATGGTACTTTACACAGGCAAACTTGTCAAGCTCGGCCCAAAGTTTCTGTAACAATGTTTCCTTTACAGATTGACAAGAGTTTCTACATATGTGTTGCATGTACGCTCTCTCTCTCTCTCTCTCTCTCTCACACACACACACACACACAGACACATACATTTTAGATGTCATCCTATCATCACTTCATTTCTTCATGGATTTGATTGCATTTTTCTCTTCACGGCCTGCAGAACTAAAATTATAGACTGATCAGACTGACATCGTTGTTTTCAAAGGAGGCACACTTAAAGTCTATTGGTTAGCATTGTGGAAGTGACTTCCGAGGTACATTAGACTGTAGATTAACTTGTGAAATTCCCGAGTTAGATCCATGGGATACTATTAGTAGTTTTGCTATGCTTTGGGGAAATGGGTTCTATGGAGTTTATGCATAAGAGAGACCCAGCTCAGCAGCACCACAAATGGGAAGCAGTGTCACTGATTTGATGCTGTACTTTATGAGATAAAGTATCCTCCCTAAAACAGAAGGAAATAGCAGATAATTTACCAGATTTACATAGCCTCTGTAGAGATGCCTATTATCAACCTGGATCACTAATGACTTTTGAAGATTAATCTTTTTGGAACTACTTTTAGGACTAGACATACTTTTAGGACTAGGACTAAAACTTCAGTTAGGATATTCAATATATCTAATACTCGATATCTGGAGATTGGGGGCATAAACAGAAAAGACAGATATTTCTACAAACCTGAGAAAAGCTCCAAATGCCCTCAGTGGCATTGCTAGGCAAATGCCCTCAGTGGCATTGCTAGGCAAATGCCCTCAGTGGCATTGCTAGGCAAACGCAACAGTTTTGTCAGTCTTCCAGCCTTGTATTCCGTAAGCAAAAGGCAAGGGGCAGGCCGCTTTTGAGGGCTGTTTTAGTCTTTGATGATGTACTCATCAGGGCCAGCAGCAAACACTGGGCAACTTGATACCATTTGACTTCCATAACTCACCAAGGCCTAGCTGCTCACTTAGTGCTTAACAGCAGCCATTGCACAAAAGTCAGTGTGATGTGGGGGTTAGAGTTTCAGAGTAGGATCTGGGAGACCCAGGTCAGAACTCTCATTCTAACATGGAAGCTCCCTGGATGACCTTAGGTTCATCACACATACTCAATTTACCTCACAGGGTCCATGTGGGAAATGGAGGGAAAGCAGCAGGATGCGATGGCTCTTGAGGCTCCCAGCCTTCCTCCCCTGCCCTCCCCTGTTCACCTGAAGCATTGCCTTAGTGGTGGGTGTGGCAGTTGCCAGAGGGAATCCCATCATTCCCCTCTTCCTTTACTTATCAATCCACCTGCCAGCCTGCAGTGCCCCTGTGTTTGCAGCCAGATTTACATGGCAATGGGGATAGAGAAGCTCACTCTCCCATTCCCACCTCACTGCCTCTGCCTGCCTGCCTGCCCACCAGTCATTGTGGGCAGCTGCTTCTCCTACTGTTCCCTCCACCATCCACCTGCAGCCCCACTGTCTCCTCCAGCTGACTCAGATGGTTGCAGCTCCCCTCCACCTCACCAGTCTCTCACATGTGCCCCCCACAGATGATGGCAGGCCAATGAAAGCGTGTTATTTGCACAAGCACAGACAATGATGCTCTGTTTAGGGGGATTTAACTGCCCCCCCTAAAAGTTTTCATATTCTGTAATCCTGGACGTACCCCAACATTGTAGAAATACCTGTTTTCTCTCTAGATGGCCCCAATCTACAGTTTTAAGTATCTGCAGATGGAGCCATGTTTGGAATTAGATATAGTCATAATGACATATGAAATTCCAGAGAGTGAAATAGGCTAAGCCTTTCCAAAGATACTTGGCTCTCACAACGCACACAGTTCCTGATGTTGATGCTGTCTTTATGTATAGTGTGACCTTTGCTAAAAATAGCCATGCAACAGTATCTCAGAGAGAACAGAAAGAGATAATGGCTATTCTCGCAGGCCGTGGAATGACATCAAAAGAAGACTTGGATGAGAGATGCCAGAGGAGTGCACATGGCTTTGACACAAGCACCCTGGAAGTTATTTAAAACTTCACTTTGAATTTATTTTAATCTGTGAGCAACACATATTATTACTAGGTCCACGGCCAGGAATAGATATGGCCCCAGAAGATCCCAGCCCATATTTTGAAGTAACTCATGGCAAATGATGCTCACATCAAAATGTCACCTTTTAAAAAATGTGCCGCAAGGGAAGCAGCCAAGAACTGGCTCTCCTTCCTGTTCCATGTAATTTTAAAATGATGAATAGAAGGAGCCATGTGAGAAGAATGTGCTATTTGTATTTGTAATAAGAAGTGTTCCTATCACCACTTATTTGTTCAAGAACACATTGATGAATTACTCTTTAAGAGACAGTGGGAGTAAAAGGATAATGTTTTATGTAGCACTTATAAACTAGAATATCAGTAATTGGCAACACATTCTTATCCTTCGTACCTGAAGAAGTATTCTGCTACACGATCTTACCTTTAGTATTTGTGGAGGGGGGGAAAACTTATCCTTGAAATGCCATATTTTAAACTATCAAATCTATTTATTCAAAATAGGCAAGGTTCATGAGGCCAGATGAACATCTGTAAGTAGTGGGCAGAGGGTCACAGGGATATGGTTTCTCCACTATACTTTCATATTTTTCCAAGGAAGAAGAAATAAATATAATGAGTTGGATCCAAGGGTCATTCTCTGTTGGCTGAAGCTCAGTATGTTTTTCAAAATCCTGCTACTGGATCACAGGCGATCTTCAGGAACACAGGGGGGCAGGTAGTAGTAGGGAAAACTGGTAAAAATTCCCACCTTCTGTTGGCAAAAATAACTTTTGGATTCAATCACATATCTCACCTCTTTAACCTCACTATCTAACTACTAGGTGAGCAGCCCTTCTTCACTGTTGTGGTAGTACATAACTGCAAATAGGCAGAGCATAATTCAAAATGCTGGTACTTATAAGAACATAAGAACATAAGAGACGCCAATGTTGGATCAGGCCAAAGGCCCATCCAGTCCAACACTCTGTGTCACACAGTGGCCAGAAATACCAGTGCCATCAGGAGGTCCAGCAGTGGGGCCAGGACATTAGAAGCCCTCCCACTGTTGACCCCCCCCCCAAGCACCAAGAAGACAGAGCATCACTTGCCCCAGAGCCCCTAGCTATACCTTGTGGCTAATAGCCACTGATGGACCTCTGCTCCATATGCTTATCTAATTCCCTTTTGAAGCCGTCCATGCTTGTAGCACCCACCACTTCCTGTGGCAGTGAATTCCATGTGTTAATCACTCTTTGGGTGAAGAAGTACTTCCTTTTATCCGTTCTAACCCGACCGCTCTGCAGTTTCATGGAGTGCCCACGAGTTCTTGTATTGTGAGAAAGGGAGAAAAGTACCTCTTTCTTTACCTGCTCTTTCCCATGCATAATCTTATAAACCTCGATCATGTCACCCCTCAGTCGTCTTTTCTCCAAGCTAAAGAGCCCTAAGCGCTTTAACCTTTCCTCATAGGGAAAGTGTTCCAACCCTTTTATCATTCGAGTTGCCCTTTTCTGCACTTTTTCCAAAGCTATAATATCCTTTTTAAGGTGTGGTGCCCAGAACTGCACACAGTATTCCAAATGAGGTCTCACCATTGATTTATATAGGGGCATTATTATATTGGCTGATCTGTTTTCAATACCCTTCCTAATAATCCCCAGCATAGCATTGGCCTTCTTTATTGCAGTCACACACTGTCTCGACATTTTCAGTGAGTTATCCACTACAACTCCAAGATCTCTCTCTTGCTCAGTCTCTGCCAGTTCAGACCCCATCAATGTGTATTTATATTTAGGATTTTTGGCTCCAATGTGCATCACCTTGCACTTGGCCACATTGAACCCCATTTGCCATGTTGACACCCAATTCAGCAGTCTGTCTTTCTAATCTCCCTTACAAATTCCTTTGTGAGAGAACGGCTGCTCTTAGGTCAGCAACTGAATGTCCTGGAAGGTTAAATTGTCCCCCCGCTGCTTTGAATGTTGTGGTTTCTGATGTCAGACCTATGTCCATCAATTCTTTGTTGAAGGGACTGGCCTGTTTGTCCAGTGTAGAGGATGGAAGGTGTAGTGTATTCCAAAGCTGCCATGGAATGCAGAATGTATGTGAAACATCTCATAGACTTGTAATGTTAAGCTTCATCCTGGGCTAGGATCCAAAGTCATCCAATGGTATTTTTAGCCCATAAACACATTGAATCCTATTGATTTCAGTGGAACATTTCAGTGCGTGCTTATCTTTCCTACTGAAATCAGTGAAAAGGGCTTCACTTTTGACAGGATTCTGTTATGCCATGCTTAAACTGTTTTTGCTACCTTGCCAGGCCATTCTTTTTTATTGTTCTCCAATTCTGTAAATTGATTCTAGTCTGAATGTATTGTTTATTGGAGGCCCTTGCTGTTTAAATTAAAGAATTTTATGTTTTTTGCACTGGAAGGAGGACTAAAAGCCTAGAGGTACTGTAAAATAGGAGAAAGGTGGGGGTGGGAATTGATATATGACATTGAATTTAGATTTTAATTTTTGAAAGAAGGTTACTTCAGAGGGAGAGGCGGGTTTGGGGGAGAGCCTGGAAAGTGACATCACAGGAAGAGGTGGGGTTTTGTTGCAGTGTAGTGGAAGTGACATCATCGGAAGGGGAAGTGACATCACTTGCCATTTGACCTGGAAGTGACATCACAGGAAGTGACATCATAGGAAGTGACACCCCCAAAGTCTCCTGGCTCCACCCCCAAAGTCCTCAGATATTTCCGAATTTGGACTTGGCAACCCTAGAGTCTACCCTCCAAAGCAACCATTTTCTCCAGGGGAACTGCTCTCTGTAGTCTTGAGATGAGGTGTAATTCCAGGGGATCCCCAGGTCCCACCTGGAGGCTGAGGAGGAGAAATACCAAAAACATCCGTGACAAAAAAAATGAAGAGTCAATAAAGATAAGTTAAAAAAAATTTACTGTAGTAATTCTGTAGAAAATTTTCTTCTATAATGGCTCACACGTGACTATAGAAGAAAAATTTCTACAGAATTACTACAGTAAATGTTTTTGCAACTTATCTTTATTGACTCTTCATTATTTTTGTCATGGAGATCCTCCCGTGATCTCTCATTTTTGGCTTCCCACCTGGAGGCTGGCATCCCTGAAGTGCCAGCTGAGCAATATCTGCCTCCTCCAGATCAAGCCTCAGAATGTCCAGGCATTGTTGAGAGAGGAATTATGGGGAGCAAGTTGCAAGGGTTTTTGAATTATGTCTACTCCTACCCACAATGTACAATATTTCACAAAAGGGATGCAAAAATCCTCTCTTTATACACTGAGTTGCATCCCACAGTTCTGAATGACTACTTTCACCTTTGGAAAAGGATCGGCAATTTATGCTAACTCCCCCTATTCATTCATTACAGAACCGCCGCGCTTGGCCCCCGGTGCTGTTCCAAAAGGAAAGTCCTACAGCGCAAGTGGATCTCATTGGACAGAAGACACTGACTAACATCACAGTAGTGCTTTACTTTGACCCAATTGCCAAAAAGCCCTGCTTGTAGTATATTTTATGATTTAAATATTTTGGCATGCACTTCCCTTCCAAATAAACAGCATGTCTCTCTCTTTTTCCTCACCTGCTTTTTCTGGAGATGGTCACGTATGTCTGAAATGCAGAGCTGGAGGTTGTGTACATAGCTAGTTTCCGTGTTAATGAGCTCTTCCACAGCCATCCTTTGGTTCTGTTCTGCTTTGTTGAACCATTTTACTTCTTCATATATGTTACACTCAGGCTCTGGTGACTCCTTACCCAGCGGTTCTTCTGTGCTGTCATTTGCCATCTTGGAAGCTGCAGAGAGAGGAAGAAATAGAGTAGGCTTCTACATGCTAAGCCTTTTGATAATGTTCAGGCCTGCTTCAAATGCACAGTTCACATTCTCCTGTTCTGTTTTGCTACATTTGCAAATATTAGGCATTCCTCATCTATATGAGTAACTAGAAGTTCTTGGGGCAGTACTTCCTGGGTTGTTTCCTTTTGAGAGGAGACAGCACAGAAGCCTTATGGTGTTACTGTAATGTTTGGTATATTTACAAACCAAAGTTGATTATAAAAAGAAAAGCTAATTGGGGGTTGTGCGGGGTGTCGTGTCAGCTGACGTTGCCATGAGCTGGGGTAATTGTCGACTGTACTCGCTTCCCTCCCCCATGCATTCTCTAGCCTGGTGCTTATCTTGCAGGTTGCCTTGGAGCTAGAGCCTGCATAACGCCCAGGGTCATGAGCTGCACGAAGTGGACTAGTTTATGTGGGCCCTGTGGGCACAATACAAGGACCCTCTGGAGAGTGAGAACTACTTGCATATGTTGAAACAAGGCTGGAGGTCGGTGCGTGAGTACGCTGAGGATTTCAAATGCCAGGCAGCGAAAGTGCAGGGGTGGCCGGATGTGGTGATGGTGGAGCAGTATCGCATAGGCCTACACCCCAAAATCCGTGAGACCATTCTACAGAGTGTACACTCAGTTTCCGTGGATGTGTGAGGCTGCGGATGCCGAAAACCGCCTGCAGATGATTCACATTGACAACACAACAACCCAGCCTAAAGAGGGGCCATCGGCCGCCAAACCGAAGGGGCCCAAACTCAAAGAAGGGATCCAGGAGTTGCGCATGAAGCAGAGGTCGTGCCTCCGCTGTGGCGAAGCAGGCCACTTCGCAGCTGCCTACCCAGGGTCCACCCCAGTTAAGAAGGAGTTGGAGAAGAAGCGCCCAGATACCCCTCCTGAAGAACAGCCAAAATTCCAATGCACCCTACAAGTCAACATCCTGGAGGGGAGCACCGAGCCAAGCAGCGAGAGCGAGGAGCAGCCAGAGGGAAAAGGCCAGGACCTGCTGTGAGAGGTGCGGAGCGGCAGGTACCAAAACAGGTGGTGCCTAAGATGGTGAGCAACTACCCTACCTCTTCTTTGTGACTGTGACATAAGATGTTAATGGTGTCTCAAGTACTATCTCTCTCAATAAACTGGTATTCCTGCAGACCTGGTGTTGAGTGTGATTGACTGGGAACCCTGACATGTAGAGGCACATCCTACCTACTCACCTTTCCTCAGTATCCTCTACCAGAAGCAAACCAGCATCAGAGACTGAGGCAAGGACAGGCCTCAGGCAAGGAAGGCCTGGTGATGATGCAGTGGAAAAACTCTTTTACCTACTTTGTCCTCAGGACTGTGACATTGTGACAACTGTGTTTCTTCAGTCTAGGCCAGTGTTCTAGACAACTTATTCCACTGCAGGATTTGGTGTGGGCAGGAACAGGGAGAAAGGAAGTTGTACCCATTGTTGTTCCAGACTGAGAAAGCAGTAGACTTAAACTGTGCTCCTATTTGAAACCATGCTGCCTCCTCAATTTAATACCAAGCATTAAGAACACAACAAGGACTGGTTTCTGCTGTTGGCTGAGGGAGTGAATGGTGGGGCAGAGAACAGCAGGACACAATGGCCTCATTGTCTGGAAGCCAATTCCAAGACTGAGTCTAGCCAACACTCTGTTCTGCTGCTCCTCCATGCAGGGTGCCCATGTCCTGATATGGTAGGGGGCAGACGCACATGATGATGTAGTCTGTGGAAACTCAGGAAACATTCATGGAACTCATAAACTCCCTCTCTCACATCCCAAGGATACCTTTAATACTGCCACTATACCTGCTTAAGTGCCTCATATACTGCATATAGGTTACAGGGATGGCCATGGCTTAACTCTGCAAACCTTCTGCCTCCAATGCAACTGCCCCATCCAAGTTATGTCATTGTCTTAACTAAACTTCTGTGAGGGTATACTAATACAAGTAGGCAACCTTTTTTGGGAGGGTGTTACGTACTAACAAAGGGACCACACACGTGGTCGGGCCCACACATGGTCAAGCAAACAAGCAAAGCTTCGCGACCAGAACAATAGACACAGAGGATCCGAGAACGGACCAGTCAGTCAGTCCAGATCCAAGAAGGGACCTATGGTTATGAGGGCACTGTAAATAAACCAATCACGGGTGTGGGGTGTGTTGTTGGGTGTGGCTTGTATCAGCATTTAAGCAGGGCCCCAGGCCCCGCTCGTTGTCTCAGTTTTGCCTTCTATTAAACTACAAGCTGAAATCACTAGCCTACGCGTCTTGAACCCAGTATTTTACAGGGGGGATCTATGGATTCATTCCAATTTTATGTGAAAACTGTTAATGGTCACTTTTGTACCATAAAGAAGAAGACGAGATTGGATTTATACCCTGCCCTTCACTTGGAGTCTCAGAGCAGCTTACAAACTCCTTTCCCTTCCCCTCCCCACAACAGACACCCTGTGAGGTAGGTGGGGCTGAGAGTGCTCTGACAGAAACTGTTCTTTTTCAAGAACAGGTCTTGTCAGAACTATAGCTTGCCCAAGGTCATCCAGCAGATGCAAGTGGAGGAGTGGGGAATCAAACCCGATTCTCCCAGATTAGAGTCTGCACACTTAACCACTACACCAAACTGGCTCTCAAAGGTTATCATACAGTGAAAGGAAACAACAGTCTACTATAATTTAGCCTTACAAGAGGAAAGAAACTGTACTACTATCTCACTTTCCCATGCAATGAATTTGAGGGATACCATTACTGGAGGGGGGATAACCTCACTGTGTTTGTGGGGCGAGATATCTTATTTGTTACTGGCTTATTTGTTAAATCAAGGGATCCAACATTGTACAACAAGCACAGGAATGACTTCCAAAGAAATATTAAACACCCTAAAAAATAAAAAAGCAATATTGAGGAAGGAATAGTAGCTTTGCTGGCACTGTCCATACAACTGCATAACACTTACAATTAAAACTGATGTACTATCTTGGGGAAAGATCATACTTTTCCAGTGACAAAATATCCACTATGTATGAAGAGAAAATTGCAGTCTCTGCAACAGAAATGCTGCCTTGAGAAAAGACCTCTGGGTGTCCCACCACAAAAGAGTAACATGTGCACATTTCTTGTACTGAAAGGGGAGGGGGGGGAGACATAAGAATTTGTTTGCAACAGACTACATTAATAAACACTAGAGATTTCTGCCTTTAGCCCTACACCATATGATCATGGTCCTACGTTACAAAATTATAGTTTAAGCTCAGTGCCTACCTGTGCTGCACATCCATAGTGTGGGGTTATTATTATGATTGGATTGCTGCAGCTGATCAATCTTATTCTCTGCAGGTGAGCTACTGCAAAATGCATTCTTAAATCCATTGGATCTGAATGGGGAAAACACAGATGGCTCTTTTACAGAAGCATCCAATCCTTTCACTTGAATAATTGAAGAGTATTTATTAATGCAACAGGGTGGCAACAAACAGAATGCTGGGATCCTCAGCTCCACAGGGCTTTTGACACCAAAGAGGCCAGCCTCGCTTGAGAAAGGCAGTATTTCGTATTGGAATTGGGATCTCATGCTCTGTTTGCACCCCATTTAAAGACATGAGACTGGAAATTTTTTTTAAAGGCAAAAAAGATTCACACTGAACCTTTCCTATCTAAAATGTCAAATAATCTAGTTGATGTAGAAACTTCAGAGTACTGCAGTGTTTGATGTTGTGTTCCCACTATTATCTTTAACAAGGCTAGAGCTGTTGCTAGACATGAAACAGTCCTTGACGACTCCCACTCAGTGCACAAAGATTGCAAACTGGGCATGAAAAAAAGGTCCTGTTCCTCTAACAGAAGCTTAGTGAGTAGAAATGGTCAGCTGAAGCATTCCATGCCATGAAGCCTAGCTCCAGACTCTGGGAGGTCTGGATTCAAATATCTACTCTGCCATGGACACATGGGCCAGTAATACTCTCCCAGCGGAACCTATTTTGATGTATGAGCAAATCTGTCAGTTTCTGTCAGTTACCAATTCCATGAATTCCTGTTTGGTGTGTGTGCAGAGTGGTTAACAGCCAATCCAGGCCCATGGTATTTGGAGGAGCCAGATGGAAGGGGAAGTAAAAGAGTAACATCTGGGACATTGACAGCTCTTGTCAGATAATGGTTTGTGCCTTCTATGGTACAGGCTAGTAGAAACACCTTTTCAGGAGACTTGGTATGTCTCAGATCCTGACTTTGAGAGTAGCAGGCTGCATTCAGTGAATGTTTTCAGGTAGGATATGGAACATTAGAGGAGCCAGTGGGAAGAAATCCTTTTTCAAGAGCCTGTATATGTTTCAGAGCCTGGCTTCTGGGATAGAGCAAGTTAATTTCAGTGAACGCAAAAAGAGGAGACTGTGCTGTCTCAGAGTCTGGTTCATAGACCTAGCAAGCTAAGAAACTTCCAGAAGGAGCTCACTAAGGATGGGCACAAACTAGCTCACAAACTAAAGTTCGTGATGAATTCTGGCCGGTCTGTGGTTCACAAACTCACGTTTGTGGCAAGTCAACCGGCATGAATTTTCCATGAACTTTCAAGCTGTTAGTGAAGGTTCCTGCATGTATACATCTCCAGACATACTGTCTCCACTCAGTCTAAATGTTTACCAAACTTCAAAGCTCCTCATGTTGCGGAGCATCTGGGTGAAGTCCTCTGCGACTTTGATGTCTCTAGCTTGAAGAGGATCCATTCTATACACTCCTGAGCCTCTTGAACCTGTTCCTATCAAACCTGGAGGGCAGGTAGAGGAGAGTCAGCCAGAGATCTCCTGTGAGTTCAGTGTCTCTAGCATGCTGGAGGGCCGTTCCAGTGGGTTACGAACCTCACAAACCAAACCGGTTCATTTGGCCCCTAAAAGTTTGTGACGATTCATGGTTCATGAACTGGGCACACCACGAACCATGAACTGAACCACATTTTCCCAGTTTGTGCCC